TGAGAGAGAGAGAAAGAGAGAGAGAGACAGCGTGAGCAGGGGAGGGTCAGAGAGAGAGGGAGACACAGAATCTGAAACAGGCTCCAGGCTCTGAACTAGCGGTCAGCACAAAGCCCGACACGGGGCTCGAACCCACGAACCATGAGATCATGACCTGAGCCGAAGTCGGACTCCCAACCGACTGAGCCACCCAGGCGCCCCTATCAATAATTACTTTAAAGTAAATGGACTAAATGCTGCAATAGAAAGACACAGGGAGGCTGAATGGATAAAAAAACAAGACCTATCTCTATATGGCACCTATGAGACTCATTTCAGATCTAAAGACCCACAGAATGAAAATGAAGGGATGGAAAAAGATATTCCATGCAAATGGAAATGAAAAGAAAGCTAAAGTAGCAATATTCATATCAGACAAAACAGACTTTAAAACAAAGGCTATAACAAGAGACAAAGAAAAACATTATATAATCAAAAAGGGATCAATCAGTCCAATAAGAAGATATAACATGTATAAATATCTACACACCACACATGGGGTATCTAAACACATAAATATTAGCACATGTAAAGGGAGAAACTGAGAGTTATATAACTGGCAGTTAACACTCCACTTTACACCAATGGATAGATTATTTAGACAGAAAATCACTAAGGAGACATTAGCCATAATGACATCTTAGATCAGATGAACTGAACAGATATTTACAGAACATAACATCCAAAAGCAACAGAATACACATTCTTTTCAAGTTTACATGGAACATTCTCCAGGATAGATCACATGTTAAGACACAAAATAAGTCTTAATAAATTTAAGGATTAATCATATATTGCATCTTTCAAACCACAATGGTATGAAACTAAAAATGACTTATAAGAAGAAAACTAGAAAAAACACAAACATATGGAGGCTAAACAACATGCTACTAAACAACCAAAGGATCAATGAAAAAATCAAAGAGGAAATCAAATGAAATGTAAACCCTACAGTCCCAAATCTATGAGACACAGCAAAAGCAGTTCCAACATGGAATTTTAGTGATACAGGTCTACCTCAAGAAACAAGAAAAATCTCAAATAAGCAATTTAACCTCATACCTAAAGGAATAGAAAAAGAACAAACCTAAAGTTAGTAGAAGAAAAATAATAATAAAGAGAGCAGAAATGAATGAAATATAGGCAAATCTCAGAGATACTGTGGCTTTAGTTCCAGACCACCATAATAAAGTGAGTATCAGTAAAGTGAACCAAATGAATTTTTTGGTATCCCAGTGCATAAAAAAAGTTACGTCTATCAAGTGTGCAATAGCATTATGTCTTAAAAAACCAATGTATATACCTTAATTAAAAATACTGTATTGCTAATAAATACTAATCATCATCTGAGTTTTCAGTTGAGTCAAAATCACAGATCACAGATCATCATCATAAATATGATAATAATGAAAATGTTTGAAATAGTTCAAGAATTACCAAAATGTGACACAGAGACATGAAATAAGCAAATGCTGTTGGAAAAATGGTGCTGGCAGACTTGTTTGGGGCAGGACTGCCCCACAAACCTTAATTTTGTTTAAATTAAACAATAAAAAATTAGGTATGCCTGGAGTTAATAATACATAACAACTTTGTATAGTGACAGATAGGATATAAATTTAACGTGGTGATTTATTTGTAATGAATATGAATGTTGAATCACTATGTTGTACTCCTGAAACTAACATAATATTGTATGTCAATTTTACTCCAATTAAAAAAAGAAAGTAAATTGTTTAGGGTAAAAAATTAAGTAAGTATAGTTGTTCCAAGGATATGGCAAAAATCATGGAAGTGTTAAAAAAGATGACAAAATTTGGGAATATTGCCATAGTAACAAGTAGGAACCCAGAATGGACACATGCCAGGATTCTCTGATTTAGAGTTAGTCTAAGGAAACGAGGGAGCCTGCTTTTAGAATCTATGGCTTGTAAATTCTCAACTGGATACTGTAAAAGTGTGTCAAGACTGACTCAGGAATCAAGCTAGAAACAGGTCCAGCTGGGAACTGGACCCCAGGACTCATCTGGCAAAATTAGGAGCGTGCGCATTCAGATATCTTGGTATTATCATAGGAAATACCAAACAAAGAACTGAATAGGAACAAGGGTCAGATGCCATGGCCATATTCAAGGTCAAAGCCAAACCAGTAGGAACTACCTAGGAGACAGGGCACCCACCCTGTGAATGGTGGTGTGAACTGAGCCTGGATTCATTCTCCATTGTCCTTAAAGGCACATGGGCCTGGATTCTGATATTGCTTCCTTCTTCAGGCAATTAATTCTTAATTTACTACCTCTCTGCAAGGCTCCAAGAGAGAGGGTACTTTCTTTTGTGCATATCTAAAAAGCCAGTGAGTCTCTACTCACCATCTCACTTTCCTAGTAAACTGAAGCAGACTGCTGCTGCCATCATGAAAGGAGCCTTTCCCTAAGCCTCCAACACTGAGTCCCCCTTCCCAGACTCCATGCTGGGATGAAGAGAGAGGTATCCCTGTCATGTTGGATTGGAACAGAGAATGACTTTTTCCATAGAAAAAAATGTTATAAATGGAAAATAGGTTTTGATGAATTAGTACAAATAATGTTTCATATATATTCCAGGTTATAAAGGATTCTGCAAGCTGGACTGGGAACCAGATTAGCAATTATACTACCACTTAAGTGGGAAAATGTTTTAATGCTATAAAATGAAAATTCGGGTTACAACTGTTGCATAGGTAGTGACTAGCTTAGAAACACAGCAAATTCCTTACTAGTGAATGCTTAACACTACATATCTTGAATTTTATCTTTCTTTTAACATCTTTCAGAAAAATAATGGTTTTATCATCAATAGTGGCTGGTATTCAAGTCTTGTACTATTGAAAAATAACTGATGAGGGTGCTTAGGCAGCTCAGCTGGGTAAGTGTCCAACTCTTTTTTTTTTTTTTAAATCTTTATTCACTTTTGAGAGAGAGAGACAGAGTGTGAGTGGGGGAGGAACACAGAGGGAGACACAGAATCCAAAGCAGGCTCCATGCTGTAAGCTATCAGCACAGACCCTGACACAAGCCTTAAACTCAAGAACTGTGAGATCATGACCTGAGCCAAAGTCGGAAGCTTAACCAACTGAGCCACCCAGGTGCCCCTAAGTGTCCAACTCTTGATCTCAGGGCTGTGAGTTCAAGTCCTGCATTGGGCTCCACACTGGGCATGAAGCCTGCTTAAAAAACAAACAACGCCCCCCAAAACAAAAACCCCCAAAACTGATCACTTCCCCTCTCATTACAAAAGTAGGACTCAATCTTTATATCTGAGGACAATTCCCGACATATCACTGTAATTTTAACAGACATTTCACTAGTCAGCTCTTAGCTGATTGAAGTTATTTATGGGATGAACTATAATGACTGCCCTGACTCCCACCTTGTCATACTGACAGTAAATTATTTCCTGTTCTGACCATAATCCTTTAACCCAATGTGATGAAAAGAATTACATGAGGTACTTTTAAAAACAAGAATGCCACGCTCCAACCCAGTAATGGTCTGGGAATTGCATATTTACATTGCTTATCTCTGGGGATCTTGTCATCCAAGCCAGTGGTTCTTACCCTAGAGGGTGAATTAGGCTTGTCTTGAGGGCTGAGCCCCAGCCCAAGAACTTCTGATACAATGGGTCATGGGTAAGGGTGGGGGGGGGGGCTGGGAATTTGCATTTCTACCAAGGTCCTTAATGATGCTCATGCTGTTGGCTCCTCAGTTATCTTCGATAAGGAAGCATAAAAAGGTAACAGAAGGGAAGACGTTTGGTCCTGTACTTGGCTCACAGTAGGCCTGCATCAAGCATCCATGTACTCTGATTTCTTGGCATGATTCCCCACTGTGAGCAACATATAAAAATGCTATATTCTAAAAATAGGACCCCAAATTTATTACATGCACTAAACGTCATTTGGTTAAAAGAGAAGAAAAAACAGCCAAGCAAGCAATGGCTGACCACTTCTCTCCCTTATGAGCTATCACGTAGCTAACATTCTGAACATAACATGCACAATGGGAATATACTCAGCTTCCCAACTCACATTTCCCAGGGAAATAGGGAAATGAAAAACAAGAAGTTATTAAATTATAATTAGATTCTCTGCTTAATTTTGATTAGCTGAATTTTGTACCCGGGAATGGATTATTTTCCCGGCAGATCTTTGTCGTATTGTTTGGCTACTTGTTGTGACCTGAAAAATCAAACAAATGAATCATAGACTCTCAGAGTCAGAGGGCCCTTGAGGCTACCTAGCCCATTCACTCACTCCAAGAACATCATTGCAAGCACCTAAACTGTATGCTGGTCCAGTTTCTTCTTGGACACCCAGTGAGAATATACTACTTTTACCGACCTTGACCTTCTCTTCAGAGAACTGCCTAACATTAGATTTTCCCACTTCTGAGCAAAAAACCTCTATTTCTGTAATTTCTGGATCTTTGGTCCTTGTTTTGCTCTCTGTGGTGCCTGGATATGTATAACCTCTCCTCCACCTGCATTTTCAGTATTCTGAAGTAGTGCTGACATCTTCTTTGCCTATTCTTTTTCAGTCCAAACATTCTATTTAAGCAAACTATTCTCACCATCAAAATTCCCATACACTTAACAGCCCTGGTCCTTCTCCTGTGGACAAAGTCCACTGTGAGGATATTTTTACGTCCTATCACCACCAACAAAAATAAGTCGTAAGAACAGTACTATGATTCTTTCCAAATAGAGTTTCTAAAGAGAGCTGGAAGCTAGAGTCATACAAAAGTGCACTATGAGGACTGGGAGAGTGTTTCCAGGACAGGCTTGGACATAGTATCCGAAGCAGGTGAACCTGGACCTAGCATGGCCTTACTTGCAACAGAAATGCTATGCTGTCACTTAAATTACTGAAGACCCAAAAAGTCTCTTTCCAAGGAAAACAGTGTAAAGCAAAAGGCATCTCTTACTTTCTACGAAACATTTCTGCAAATATGCAGCCAACACTCCAGAGGTCGACAGGGGTGGCGTAGCTGGACTGAAGCAAGACTTCTGGAGCTCTGTACCACAGCGTGACGACCTGCAAGGGCAAACAGATTTGAGTGTTACTGAGGAAGATGACTGGTTGCTTACATTTCTCATCCTGGCTGGTTTAATGTCAAGATCCAGTTCAGAAACAGCTCTTAGCATCATATGGGGACACTGAGAAGAAGCAATAAATAACTAGGACTCATCACTGACAGGCCAGGAAATGACATCATCCCCACAACCTGGGTTCCCACCTCAGACTCGGGTGTTTCTTGCTAAGATGGTAAAATAACTGAATTTCAGAAAGCACAACAAAGACTTAAAAACAAAAGCCACAAATCTTAAAACTGTTATATTTTTGTTATGGGACTTAAAAAAACAATACATGGAGAACAGGTGTAGGCAACAATTTCAGCTAAACTCCTCAGTCAGCAGTATTGGGAAATCAGATGAGTCCAGTGGTTGCTAAATGTTGACCTAGAAGTATAAAGGGGACCCAGGACAAGTCAAAGCTACTCTTATCACGAGCTGTGCAAAATCAAAATAAAGCCCCATTCAATACCGCTCTTTTCAGAAAACAAATAAAAAACAAAAAACTTAAGAGAGGACTGTGTAACTCAACTGTTTACAACACGTGTTAAAAAAAAGTCATTCAGAGGACTGGATTCCCAAATGGGAAGAATTTTGTTTAATACAGAGTAGTGTGTAGTAACAGGTAAAACAAACACAAGTATAACTATTTCTGCAAGGCTAGGAGGTAAGGAAACAGGTATAAGCTTCAGATTTATACCAGTATATAGGGGTTCAAGTGCTTCTCTTCTGTAGGGAGAGGTATTTTATGGATGCCTGAAATAAAGGAATATTCTTTATAAGAAATTCAAGACATAAATCTATTACATAAGCATGTTGTATTATTCAGATTCCCTTTATCCTTACTTGTTTTATCTAATTGTACTTTTGTTGACATCTATCTAAATTTCCTACAATTCTCCTTTATGTATTTTGATGCTGTAGAACTTGGTGCATGAAGAATGCAGTAGCAATTCTCCAAAACATGATAGCCATCTATTTCCTTCTTTCCTGTGGCCACATGCTGCTCCTCCCATCAAAGGACGAGTTTAATTCACCTTCCACTGAACTGGAGTTGGTCTTAGTGATCTGGTCAACTCAACTATCCGAGGCTATCAAAACTAGGTCAGCAGAAGCCTGGTAGTCTGGGCCTTTTTGAATGCTTGCTCATGAGGCACTTCCTCTGGAGCCCAGATGCCATGTAGTGAGAAGCGCACAAAGATGTTCCAGTGCAGAGCTCCAGCTAAGCTCTCTGCTGAAAGCCATGTGAGTGAGGTGTCTTGGACATTCCAGTTGGACTCATCTCCCAGACAACTGTGGCCCTCCTCCACCAATGTCACAGTAAGCTTCTAGAACTGCTTAGCAGAGTCCAGTCAACTCACAGGATTAGCAGTGATAATAGAATGACTGTTGTTTTAATTTTGCGGGGGAGGGGGGGGGATTATACAGCAATATCTAACTGGAACAAGATTCTTGACCGGTTCTTCCTCTTCATCTCATTTAACAGGATTTACTTTGAATTCATACAAGGGGCCAAATTTTGTGTAAGGGATATCTGGTTGACATCTAATGGAGGGATAGTGGTGATGTAATAGAAATTTCAAAAAGGAAGCAAAAATGGGGCACCTAGGTGGCTCAGTCGGTCAAGCGTTCAATTTTTGATTGCAGCTTAGGTCATGATCTCATGGTTAGTGAGCTCAAGCCCCGCACTGCAGTCTGCACTGACAACGTGGAGCCTGCTTGGGATTCTCTACCTCCCTCTCTCTATCTGCCCCTCCTCCACTAATGCGCACACTTTCTCTCTCTCTCTCTTAAAATAAAATGAGTAAACTTTAAAAAAAGGAAGGAAACAAATCCACAATACCAAATAGTGTTACTCAGTTATCATTGGCTCTGCTATATCTTTCTAGCAGTGTATCCTATAGTATCTCTATAATCCCTACAACCTAGTCACATACTAGACCACAGCACTGGGTTTCAACCCTGACTGTGCATCAGAATCATCTATGGGGCTTTTAGAAAAACACAGATGTCTGGGCCTCATCTCTCTGTCACTGAATTAGGTCCCCATGGTGGGGTGCTTGGAGTTCTCTCTCTCTCTCTCTCTCTCTCTCTTTTTTTTTACAAAGTTCTTCAGGTAACACTGACCCTTGGCTAGGTCTGAGCACTACTCAATTATATAAACATTTCCTCCAGCTCCTGTCTCCATGCTTTAGTTGATACTCTTCTGGTCTGGGAAGTTTTTCCTTCTTCCTCCACATGTGGAAATTCTACTTATCCTGCAAAGCCTGGCTCTGATGGCATCACCTCCCTGAACCCACTACCATCTGAAAATCATACCTTGTAACATAGTTCATAATATGGTTTGTTCCAGAGAGCATCGGCCCGATTGTATCCATGGTTATATCTGTAAATACCCATCACGATAATGCTCAACATAACAACGGGTTTAACAATAAGGCAATCATTGCTGGAAGACAACCAGGCAAAATTCAATCACCAGTCATTTCTGAGAAAAGAAGGCACTTCTTTCACTACATTTGCTAACAAGAGCATCCAATTCTGGGCTCTAGTTTTTACTTGCATAAATTAATTCTGTTTTATTAATATTTCCCTACTTCTCTGATACACTGCAAACAAAAGTGCAGGTGTAAATGGCCCATAAAGTTCCTTCTGCCCAGTGGTTTATAGACACAGACAGTATATAGGCACCCACCCACCTTCTCACTTCCATTTGAAATAAAGTTTAGCATCATATGGGATGAATATTTTAATGTGAATATTGTGTTGTTTTAAGTTGTTCTAAAGAGGCTATCATTTCTGACTGATTACCCATCCCCAAACTCTTTAGTAGGACTGTTTTCACTTTTAGTACTTAATCAGTGTACCTATTATAATCATCAAATAAATGTTTAGACAGTTAAAATAACTACACTGATATGTTTAGAAAGTTCCTTTCTATTCTTTTTAAAAATAAGTTACCACTCAAAATGGATAATGAATTTTTATGAAATATCTTTGTCTATTAATAATGACAACATGATTACTCTCCTTCATTCTATGAATGGCTTATTAATCACATTAACAGATATCTTAATATTGTACCATTTTTGCCTTTTTTGGAGTAAATCACTCCCAATCATGATGTGTTATTCTTTTAATAGACCCTTAGATTCTATCTGTTAATATTTATTTAGAATATTAATCTACATTCATAAGTGGGATTGAGCTACAGTTTTATTTCTTGGGTTAGTTTTTCATCTTTTGATATTAGAAATGTGCAAAGTTTCTATCCTTTGTATTCTGGAATATTATAAGCAACATCAGAATAATCAGTCTCTTAAAAGGACTCATAAAACCATCTGGGTCTGGATCTTTATTAGCAGTTACAGCTTTAACTATCTTTTGAATTTCTTCTTAAGTCTGTTTAAGTTTCAATCTTTTTTTGAGTCAATTTTGGTAACGATGAAGGATTTCCCCATGAAAACCCTTAGTCTAGATTTTAAAATGTATTGGCTTAAATTTGTACATAGGATTTCTTATAATTATTGTAATGTCATGTTACCTCGGTTTTCTGAGAAAGAGAAAATAGAATTTTCTTTCTTAATGTTTTATATTTTTGCTTTTTCTTTGTATCAAGTTTCCCAGGAGCTTAGTTATAGCATTTATTAAAAACAATGATACAGAGTTTTATTTCCCTTTTGGGAGAACAACTGTTTTATTTTATACCTTCTGATTTCCATTTTTATCTTTATAAATTACCCCATCCTAGTTTCCTTGTTTTCATTTACCTATGTTGAAACTTGGCTTATTTTCAATTCTAAATGATAGAAGATTTAGTGACATATTTTAAGTGAATTTTTCTCATTTTTGTTCTTCAAATAATATATAATTTACCTCTAATTTTCTCTTTAATTCAAGAGTAAACTACTTTCAAGAAAACACTATTTAGATAAGTGTTTTAGGGGCACCCGGGTGACTCAGTTGGTTAAGGGTCCAACTCTTGATTTTGGCTCAGGTCATGATCTCAGTTTCATGAGTGCAAGTCCGAGTAAGACTCCGTGCTGCCGGTGAGGAGCCTGCTTGGGATTCCTTCTCTCTTCTCTCTGCCCCTCACCTGCTTACCCTCTCTCTGTCTGTCTCAAAATAAATAAATAAATATTTTAAAATTTCCATATGGCCAGGTTCTCTTTTTTAAAAAAAATGTTTATTTTTGAGAGAGAGAGAGAGAGAGAACATGTGTTCAAGTGAGCAGGGGAGAGGCAGATAGTGAGGGAGACAGAAGATCTGAAGCAGGCGCTGTCAGCGCAGAGCCCATGGGGCTTGAACTCATGAACGGTGAGATCGTGACCTGAGCTTAAGCTGGACTCTCAATCTACTGGGTGCCTCTCTGGCTATCTCTTAATTGTTGGATTTCCAGGTTTAGAAATCCATGCCAGAGAATATAACCTGTACAATTTCTACTTGGTAGAATTTATTATTGCTTTCTTTACGACTATGTGCATACCTGGGTTTTGTGTCATAGGGTGTCAAGAGAGCAATTCTCTTTTAAGTGTGAAGTTCTTTATTAATAAGGCTTTGTCTCATACAGATCCTTATGTTTTTCTATACTTTGTCAAACTCTGTGGAAGAGAATTAAGTTTTCATTTTCTTTCTCCTCAGAATTTCCTTGTATTTCTTTTTTTTAAATTTTTAAAAATGTGTTTTATTTATTTCTGAGAGAGAGAGAGAGGCAGTGTGAGCAGGGGAGGGTCAGAGAGAGAGGGAGACACAAAATCAGAAGGAAGCTCCAGGCTCTGAGCTAGCTGTCAGCACAGAGCCTGATGCGGGGCTCGAACCCACGAACTGCGAGATCATGACCTGAGCCAAAGTCGGACGCTAAGCCGACTGAGCACCCAGGCACCCCAGAATCTTCTTGTATTTCTGAGGGATTCTGCCCTATACATACTGGCCTTATATTCTGGTAAATAAAATTTATGACAA